ACACTCTTGGAGTTGTGTATAACGAACATGATGAAACTCAAACACAACATAATCACTACCTTACCCTTCCCCAACCACATAAACAGACAAACTATGGGTCGTGCACCCATGCCCTCATAGTAAGTCAATTATTCATTTACCCTGGTACCAAATGTATGAAATTATGCTCATACCCAGCTGTCGTTGGGCCACAACGGTCCACTTGATGGGCATTACCATAATTTCGTGGTCCAAAACCGAGGGTCTGCAAGATTATGTACACCTTTAATTTTGCACAGGGGCAGCGTTGTGTATGCAAAGTTGAATGGGCTCCGAGTATAAAAGCAAGTTCGTGTTGGGATTGCGTACAATGGGTATGAAGTGGGGTACATATGCAATTTTTCCTTTATTAAAAAGGTCGATGGCCTTGAAATATCATCATCGAGTTGACCAGCCCCAGGTAATTTATAATTATTTCATTTATTTAGGTTCATCAAGATTCAAGCTTGGGTCTCTATTTCAACAGTTCATTGGTGTATCAATTGAGCTAGACGCATTGGTCTCTTCCACCCCCTTTACCATTAATACTCCCGAACCTTTTTATCCGGATGAAGAATTCAGTCGCGCACTAATTTTTGTCAAATGGCTGGAATTTAAACCACGAGTTAGGCTACCAGCCTGGCCGCCCAAGTTAACCTATTTTCCCAGGCGGCCCGACCATGCAAGGACTAGGGAAGGTCCCCAGCCAAAAGAAAAAAAAGAAAAAAAAAACGAGAAATCCGAAAAACACTATGTTATGCAAAAAAAACTGAACAACTTTTGCCTCAGTGTCACATCAATTTTTTTTACCAAATTTAAAATCAAAATTTAAGTAAAATATATATATATATATATACAAGGTTGCGGGCGTTCGGGACGGGCCGAACGCCCGAACATTCGGCACCCCCTCTCGACACGTTCGGTCGTTCGGCCGAACGCGGACAAAAAAAAAAACAAAAAAAAACAAAACAAAAAAAAAGAACTTCCAAAAAAATTGAAAACAATATATGTTATGAAGAATAATAAACTAAACAACATTTGCCTCAACATTACATCTAAATTCTTTACCCAATTTGAAATAAAAATCAAATACTAAAAAACAATATAATAATAATAAAAGTTAGGAAAAATAAAACGAGAATGAAATTCTTGAGTGGGCAAACACGTTTTTGACACTGCCATCTTTGGCGATTTTTTTTTTTTTTTTTACTATGTCAAATGCCATGAAAATTTATTTATGTGTATCTTACATAATAGATAATCTACAAATAAATTTTGAAAAAGTAAGAATTTTTTTCATACCCCGAAATAAAGGAAAAACAAAAAGTGAAAAGAAAAAAAAAAAAAAATCAGTGAGTGGGCAAGCAAGTTTTGACACCACCATCTTTTCCATTTTTTCATTTTTTTTTTGGCTGAACAAAATAGCTCCAAACTTAAGAGGGACATACCTTACATCACAAAGAACTCACAAAAAATATTTTTGAAAACAACAATAATATTTAGGTGTCAAAATAATGTTTTGCGGGGTCCGAACCCCTTCACGTTCGGGCCCGAACGTTCGGGGTTCAGCTCAGGGGCCACTGTACGTTCGGCCTGGCAACACTGTATATATATATTATATATATATACAGGGTTACCTTACCGAACGATCGGGGGCCCCCGGGCTGACCCCCGAACGTTCGGGGGTTTGGGGTCCCGTTCGGGGGCCGAACATCTCAAGGTTCGGCCCCAGCCAAAAAACAATTTCGGGGCCTAAAAATAAGTTTTCTTTTCTGAATTTTCTTTCTGAGTTGTCTATGATGTAACCTACATGCCTATAAATTTTGAAGTCATTCTGCTAAGCCAAAAAAACATGAACAATCATCAAAGATGGGGGTGTCAAAACGTGCTCCCCCACTCACTATTTTGTTTTTTTTCACTTTTAACTTTTTGTTTTCACTTTATTTCGGGGCCTAAAAAAAATTATTATTTTTTTAAAAAAATTAATAAGTTATTGATTATGTAAATTAGATATTTGTAAATTTTTAGGGCATTTGTCAATGCCAAACAATAATTACAAATCGGCAAAGATGGCGGTGTCATCCCGAACGCCCAAACCCGAACGCCCGAACCTGAACGCCCGAACGTATGGGACCCCTTGGGGATTTGTTCGGCCGTTTGGGCCAAA